TTAAAAAATTTATCATTTTTAAAGAAAGTTTCCATTTTATAAAACGGAATAAGTACATTTATAATTATACCAATGAAAATATTTTAAAACCCTAATAAAATCATACAATTTATAATCAACACCTATTCCTACTTTAAAAGTGATGCTTTTATAATAAAGCCTAATTTGAAAATAGACTGCGCATGTTTGGTACTTAGCAAGAACTTTATTAGAATTGTAAACATTGATATTGCTGTTAAAAAGTATGATACTGTTACAAAAGTCTCTAAATGTGTGAATTTGCAAAAAAATAAATGAATAAAACTACCGATAAGCGCGAACAACAGGAAGTAAGTCTACGGCTTAGAATCACGAGCGGCCAGTACGATATTTTTAAAAGGAATCCTGTAAGTCTTCAAAAGGATTGGCCTTATATATACACGGATCATCCAATACATCGAACGTAGCGATATTTCATAGATTCCGCTAACTGTAATCGGTTAAAGGCACCAGATACTATTCTTTTTTAAGACCGTTTAAAAATAAAAATTTGGTCGTTTTTATTAAAAACATACAGAATCGTTATATGTTGCACACATTTTGCTGGGGGGGGCACTTGACTTTCCGCGGAAGTACCCCCCCACCCCTCGGAGAGATGACTGAAAGAAATCCTGGTGAATGGGGAGGCTGGGGTGAAAGTTGAAAATTGCAATATGGAGTTGGAGGTAGAGGCCAGGTAACATTTTTGTTGTCGGAGGTATGCGGGATGGTTGGGGAGGCTAGAATGGCGTTGAAGGATGGAGATATATGTCATAGTTAACAAGGAAGAGTGGTGGCAGTGAAAGAGACCTTGGGATTTGAACATAGAATTAGGGTGAGGTTAAGATTTTGTGGAGAAGATTCGTACCAGAAGCTAGACATGTTGGGATTGGAGGAATAGTGTGAGGAATAGGCTTGGGGTATTCGTGCAAGGCAATTTGGTGATAGAACGTTTGGTGAAAGTCTTATTTGTGTTAGACATTTTGGTGATATTCAGTTTGATGATTACCGTTTTGTGATGTACAGTTTGGGGACAGACAGTTTGGTGAAAGACAGTTTGGCGATAGACAGTTTGATGACACACAGTAAATTGAAAGGCAGTTTAATGATGAATAGTTAAGTGATATACAGTTTTTTGATTGACAGTTACATGATAGACAGTTTGGTGATAGACAGTATGCAGATACACAGTTTGCAGATAGACAGTTTGCAAATAGACAGTTTGGTGCTTGGAGGTAGACGACCACGGGAATGACGTAGAAAGGCATGTGGGAGATGGTGATAGGGTTGGAGTTGTGGGTGTTAGCATGTTATGTTAAGTTTTTTGAAGTCACGGGAATGAGGTGGAGACTTTATATGTGACGAGAAGAGCTTGAGACAAGCTTGATAGGAATGGTTTCGGTTGAGAGCTCAGTGACTAAAGGGTGTAAACATTATATGTAAAGAAGAACTTAATTAGGTCATCTTTATAACTATTAGACGCTTATTCATGCAAACATGATATATTACACTGTTGATTTTTTAACTTGACATCAGCTATTAATGAAAATAAAACTTATCAAAAACAAAGTGGATCATTTTGAAGGAGAGACATATAAAAGGAATATTTGTTAACTGTTGAATTTATAGTGTTGTTAACTGTTGTTAAAATGGTTAAAGTCGTTGTCTTGGAAATATGCACTTCTTTAAATTAATTCACTAAAATAACTTACACATTATCCAGGAAAATTCGTTGATCTCGCAATTACTTTTTATGTTGCCGATAACTGAAGTTTTATCAAATTCATAAAGAACGTGGTTTAGAGTTATGAAACACCCTGGGACATCATCAAACGAGCTCCCTACGCCATCCAATGCTGTAGTTTCTGATTCCTGTCAAGGCAAACGCTTATTTCAATGATTACAATTCTGTTTGTGTATTAAGCACTATTAAGTTGACAAATTACAACACGCGTCATAATACACGGTACAAGACAAACAATAATACCTCGTTATCGTCTCTACGTTTCTTTCTTCTGAGTTATAATTACAAAAATAAAGAAAAGTACACTGTATGCGTAATGTGATAAGGGTTGGCAGTATGTAATTCTTAGCTGTAGACAATGCACACTGCAGGCGTACTGTAATAAGTGTTGGGAGTATGTGAGAATTTGGCTGTAGATAATATTCTTCGTTCTTCCATATTGACAAACCAAAAAAAAAAAAAACACACTAAAACCCCCCGAAAGAAAGCTTCAGCTAAGGTCGAACATTCACAGACCATTTCAGGCACAATTCTTAAAGGGGTGGCAGTATGTAATTCTTAGCTGTAGAAAATGCACACTGCAGGCGTACTGTAAAAAGTGTTGGGAGTATGTGAGAATTTGGCTGTAGATAATATTCTTCGTTCTTCCATATTGACAAACCAAAAAAAAAAAAAAACACACTAAAACCCCCCGAAAGAAAGCTTCAGCTAAGGTTGAACATTCACAGACCATTTCAGGCACAATTCTTGGTGGAACGAGACAGTGGAACACTTGGTGTTTTCATAGTCCAAGCTAGTAAACATCTGGAGGCATAAGATCGAAATAAAGTTTTCATGCAGGATGGCGGCACGTTTTCTAGAGCTGTTCCCATCGTCGCCTTCGTAACACGGTCTATTCATGCAAATGTTCCTTGCACAATAGCACCTTCTCAAACCCTAAAGAAATGATCCTATCATCGTTTCCTTGTTGCATTCTCAGGTGACAAAATAAGTATTGGGCTTTCGACCCCCCCCCCTCCCAAATGAAATAGGGGCCTAATATTCCCTATGCTGAAAAGGAAAACTATTTCGTCACACCTGCACCTTGCACTTGTTTCTAGACTATAACAAAGTCACCCAAAAAGAAGGGAGCAGTTTGTCTGGCAGTTGATTCAGACATTCTAGTGAATTAGACTTTCGTAGCACAACAAACAATTTATAAGAAAAAAATCTGAATCCTTGTTTACCTTGGCCAAAAATATCTCACAATGGAGAATCCGGGTCACATAAGTGTCCAACATGCACAATACGGGCCCACATAAATGTCTCTCAATGGACAATCCGGTCCCACATAAATGTCTCACAATGCACAACCCGGGCCCATATTTCTGGAAGGTTACAGCGTTGTCCAAAAAAGTATCCGGATCGTAAATGATGCCCCCACGTCCCGATTGTATCACTCATATTAAGTTTCAAGGATTTTTTAGCCCAAACTTCGTTGGGCGCATGCAGCATCTGTTGGGAGGATTGCGTTCAGATGGAAGGAGTTAGGAAATATATAGACACAGGGTTGGGGATAACCACTATCTTGTTTCGTCTCACACCCCACCCCCCCACCCCCAAAATCAGAATTTCCAATACCGATTTAAAAACACATCTATTTCGCAGAAACCTTCTGGGGTGATGCTATCTACCATCTTCTTCAGTTAATTGATATTGGCCTGGGTTGCTTATGGTTGAAACGGGATGAAAGACTTTGACTTGGTATGCTCGTATGTAGCTTTATATTTTTTAAATGTGGTAAATTTCAGATTGTTTTTATTTCTCTTTATAATGTGGTTGACTTTGTACCGCGCTTCCAGCTTTTGGGGATGAAGCATGTTTTTCAAATAAACTTTATTATTATTATTATTATTATTTGTCCAAAAAAAAATTCTTTGTTCGTCTGGCTTCACAATCCGTTTGCTAATTGCGCTACTAGAAAGCGACTTTATGAAATAAGTGGCAGAATAACTTCACCTACTTGTTGCAGTCTTGTTAAATTTCTCTTAAAATAGTTCTACCCCATTTTTAAAGAAAAATTTAGGCTCCCGAAAAATCCACTTCCGTATAAGCGAAAAATAATATAAAATTATAATTCCTTTTAACCATCAATCAAAAGACCAATCTCGAGCATCCAATTGCCAAAATGACTTCATTTTCGATCAAGCGAACACGTTTTGGCTGTGGCTATGCCTCTTCGACAAACAAGCTTTCAAGATACCAGCTATTTAATACTGCACATGTTTAAGATGCTTTATATTAACTTCACTTTGGTTCGAGGGTGGCTAGCTGCCGGTCGAGGTGGCGGAAGGGCAAAATCTTCGGAGGATCCACTTTCCCTCAACCTAAAAAAATGTGTGGTTGTGAGTCGGGGTGGGGGGGGGTGGGGGTGGGGGTGGGGGTAGAGCACTAATTGGGATTATAATATAGTGCGCTACTTGAATGTATGTTTTGTCAAATTTTCTGCCCCACCCCCTATTGTTCCATAGTAAGATTTTTAAAGGGATTGAAAGGACAAAACATTGTTTTTTAGGGTATTTTTGACTTAGCGCATGTTTTTACAAGTTTCAGAGCAAAGGAAAAAAAGTAGAAATGAGAGAAAACGTGTTTTGTTATAGAGGAAGTTAATACCAGTCAGAAGACTTTGAAATGTATTGCGTGTTTCATAAATATTTGACAAGTGTGATCAAATTGTTCATTTAAAAATATTACACAAAGCCTATCCTAGACCGGAGAGGCCATCTCAAATAAGTAGCGGACACATTTTTGTCTTCTTCTGATTTCCGTAAAGTGATTGGTGTAGTCAAGTCATCAACATTTAGATAATTTTTGTTAAATAGGAAACACATTTGACACAATTAGTTATGTATAAGGATGCTAACCCTTTCAACCCTTTGGAACATATTTCCACACAACGTTTCAGATTTTTATCTTTGTTTTTATTTGGGGATACATAAAAGAGACATCGTCAAACATTTTAAAAGTAAGTTATATTAATTACACTGAAATAACGTTTTAAATTGCTTACCCAGAAAATATAACCTAAATTTCTTCATTTTCTTGTTCTTTATATATATATATATATATTTACATAATCTATGACGCAATTAAAAATTAATATATTGTGTTTCATTTGCATGTTAAAAAAAGAAGTCTTGACGACAAATTGTCTCCTTGTTAAAAAGTTGCTGTTTACGCCATGAAACATCAGATTATGTATCTAATGGCTGTTTTTTTTCTTAAAGTAGTAATTATGTAAAATATTTAAACACACAAATTATACACACTAGTTTATTATTATTTAGTTCAGTTTCAGAATACTTTTCAAAGGATTATCTCTATCGTTCAAGTGATAAGACTTTATCTAATTTAATTATTGGCGAGTACTGGACACTAAAACAGAAGGAAAGAAATGATAAACAGAACAACCATTTAATAAAAGTTTGTTTTCATTCTTTCTAAAATTTAAGATTTTATAAAGCGTTATAAAAACAAGAATGAAACAACTGAGTTGCTTGTGTGCTGTATTTGCCTTGTTACAAATCCTTTTGAGTAAGTACTTAAAATATGAATTTCTCAAAATAAATAAGCTTACATACATAAATAGGCCAGCTGTTAAATTATTCGAAGCAATAAAGGAATGCTTGAATTTAACTCAAAAACATTTGTTTCAATTCTTCTTTTGTTGATTCAACACAAGGTAAGATTTCAAATCTTGCAATCAAATCTCCTAGAAATCTTTGTTTATTCAAGATCGAAATAATATTCATTTTGATATTAAGTAACAAATACACCACTCTAACTTCGGTTTTTGAACTTTTATTTAAGAGTCTGAAGTTATCTAAAAAAAAATAAATAACTATTCAATAACTTACCTCTATAACTTGTTACTACATGCCTGCACATTAAACATTGCACGCTATTATTAATTAGTGTAAAGCTGTTTCAAAGACTATTGTTGTATTAAAACCTAAATATAAGTTGACCCATTAGCAGTAGGCAAGAAAACTAAATAACATTTAAAAAAATCTTTAAAATATCTAATTCTCTTCATTTTTAAAACACAACTTTCCCCCGGGCTCATCTTTTCCTTCTCACGACTCTGAAGAGAATTGTGAAGTGACAAACCAGTTGAAATATACCAGGTAAATATAGAGAATTGTGAAGTGACAAACCAGGTGGACTGTAGAGAATTGTGAAGTGACAAACCAGTTGAAAATTTGCTCATGGTTATTCATGTCGATGTTTTATCCTCCCCCCACAGGAACACACGGATTGAAGATTACTTTGGACGGCTTTGAAAACCAAAACTGTAAACAGACGTGTAGAAGCGCTTTTCAAGGCTATAATGTAACAGGAAGGATAATTCTGGAGGAAGGGGAAATCATGCCAGGCTTCATTCTCTACGAGTATAAGTGTCCTAAGACGACAGGTTGTGTAACTTACGAAGGACTTGGTGAAGTCTGGGAAGAGGTCAGATGTGGTTAAAGGTTGAGAAAAAATAAAACGATCAACTTCTTATATTCATTTTCTTTGCCCAGTATTTCCCAACAACTCTATTGTATACATTCTCTATGCTATTTGTATACTGTCGCATCCCATCAAAACCAACACATTCATTTAATAATTGAATTAAGCACATTAACTTCCATTTTAAAAAAAAAAATTAAAATTGGCCGAAAAAGAACTTATAAAAGATCTTCATAAGACTACGTTTTTTTTCAAATTGTAAAGAAGAATATATTGAAATTTTATGCGTTTGAGACATCCGTCTATTATATTAACTAAAATCAATTTTCATATAAGAGGACCACCATTTGAGAGGACCACCAAATAAGAAGGTCACCAAATAAGTGGGCCACCAAATAAGAGGGCCAGGATACAAGGGGGCATTCATATAAGAAGGCCACCAGATAAGAAAGCCACCAAATAAAAGGGCTACCAAATAAGAGGGCCCACAGATAAGAGGGCCCACAGATAAGAGAGCCACAATATAAGATGGTCACCAGATAAGATGGCCACTAGATAAGAGGACCCTTAGATAATATGACCACTAGATAAGGTGGCCAACAGATAAGATGACCACTAGATAAGGTGGCCAACAGATAAGAGGTCCCACAGACAAGAGAACCACCAGATAAGAAGGCTCACAGATAAGATGGCCACTATTGTAGGGTAGCATCTGAGCTGTCAGATGATAACCCCTTGTTAAGGTGATGGGATGGAGGCGGTCAGCCCCATGGGGCACTTGTTTCTCTACATGTGTTCCGGCATCTTTGTCCAAGTTAAAAGAATAGTATTGCAATACAATGATTAAAGACGCAAGACACATAATATATCAGTTGGATGACTTCAGCGCAACAGCACAGTTGACAAGCCTGGACAGCAGTATACATCAACAACACACTGCACATGCCTGGACAGCAGTATAAATCAACAAAACAATAAAGCAAGAACTCAATTGACGCACTTGGACAGCGATATAAAGCAAGAACTCAATTGACGCACTTGGACAGCGATATAAAGCAAGAAATCAATTGACGCACTTGGACAGCGGTATAAAGCAAGCACTCCATGACTCACTCGGACAGTGGTGAAAAGCCTATTAATGACTTTTTGTGAATAGAGTAAGAAATGGACTGTTGATTATTGTGCAGACGGATACAGAAGCAGAACCTCTCCATGCTGGCTTAAGCACTCATCTGCCGTGAAAATTCTTGGTTTGGCAGAAGCAGCGTCAACAGCTTTACATCTGCAGGGTTAGAATCCTGTAAAGACTCTTCAAGGTACTACCCCCATTTAAGATGTACATTGGTGTAATAAGAAACCCAGTGGCGATCACTTAAATGTGTTGGGATGTGATGCGTATGCACAGAAACCCAAAAGATGAAAGATGTTTGATTCAAAAACATTTTAAAAATGCATTTTCCTAGGGTACGGGTTTGTTGTGAAGGGTAAACGTCATAAGATTTGACGACTGCCAAAGTGATTTACAGCCGAGACGTTCTGTTTAATCAAAACAAGTTCGGCCTTGAAAAGTAGACTAAATGCCTTAGGAACCAACTCCTATTTAGTGGATTTTATTTATAATTTTGGTGTAATGATTACCGATGTAGAAGATTGTATCTGGCTACAGCTGCCAGGTTTTACAAGTAAAATTCTTGAGAAATTGGAAGATGGTGTCTTGCTAGGACAGACAGGCTTTACAAGCAAAATTCTTGAGTGACAGGAAAGTGATATCTTGCTAGGACGGCCAGGTTGTACAAGCAAATGTTTTTAGAGATAATAAGATGGTATCTGGCTAGGGCAGCTAGGTTATACAAGCAACATTCTTGAGAGATAGCAAGATGTAATCTGTCTAGGCCAGTCAGGTTATATAAGCAAATTTCTTGAGAGATAGGAAGATGTTATCTGGCTAGGACTCTTGAGAGATTTGGGATGATACTAGACCTGTAACGGTACACACTGAGGAAGTATTAGGACATTCTGTTGATCAAGAACTTTACCAATCAGTGATAAAGATGTCTACTGTATGTGTCAACTTGGATCAGACCTGACATAACTATCACCGTGGCTAGTCAACTGTATCCGTCAACTTGGACCAGACCTGGCATTACTTTCACTGGGGGTAGTCGTCTGTATCCGTCAACTTGGACCAGACCTGACATAATTTCACTTTGGGTAGTCTACTGTATCTGTCAACTTGGACCAGACCTGACATATACTTACGCTGTAAGTAATGTAGTCTAGTAAAACTATGTGCTCATCCACCAGGATAACACTGGACGGCAGTGACAATAATTCTAAGATACTTAAAGTGTACGTGGAATTATGAACTTGTGTACCACAACAATGGATCAACTGAAAGTGTTGGCTATTATGATGCTGATTGGTCAGGTCACATTGATGATTGAATATCTGCATCTGGCTATGTGTTCCATATGGGTAGGGGACTTATAAGTAGGAGAAGTAAGAAACAATTATGTGTGGCATGGTCGACAGCAGACGCTGAATATATGGCGCTTTCAAGTACCACACAGGAGTCGCTTTGGCTGAGACAAATTACGTCCAAAATGGGGTGAAACCAAAATGTTGCCACTGTTGTTTTGAGGACCATCCGTCAGCTATTCTATCAGTCAGCTATAGCTACGGCTAATCATCCAATCAGTCAACTACAGTTATGGCAAATAATCCAATCATTCAGCTAGAGTTATGGCTAATCATTTACTCGCTAAGTTATAGCTGTGGATAATCATAAAAAAATCCATGATAGAGCAAAACATGTGTATATTAAATACCATTTTTTTAAATCTTGGAATAAGTTGGACATGAGTCTGACTCTTGAATATTGTAGAGCAGACGAAATGATTGCTGATATCCTTACTGAGGGACTGTCTTCGCAAAGATGCAAGACACCCAGAGACACGATTGGTGTGAGACAAGGGGCTGTCTCAGCAAAGATTCAGGACACTCGGAGACACGATTGGTGTGAGACAAATGAATTAATTTAATTTAGTATTTTGAGAAGTAGTTATGAAATGACAAAGTGCCAAATGTTAATGACGAAATGTTGCACACGGCACACTTGTTGTTTTTGTTGTTGTTGTCGTTGTAACATTACGGTTTTCTGTTGCGTTGTTTTCACGCTAAAAATGTTGAAGTGACCATGAGCGTTTAATGACTTACCTGTGAAATACCTTAAATGTATTATTTTTTTTCAGCACATTTGGGAACAAGCGAAAATTCCAACTGAATAAGATACAGCACTAGTAGCCCCAATACAAGGAATGTTCCAAACTTCAATGCACAAATGCAGATGAATTTTACTACTTTAATATTACATACAAAATAAGGAAAAAAACTAATTGCCTAAAGACTTCAACCGTACACTGAACAGTATTAGGTGACCATCAATGTGGGCTCACACAAAATAGCTGTGTGAGACTACAGGAGTTTGGCATACCCACCAAACTGAAAAGAGGAATATATATAATATTAAAGTGCTCAAAAAGTCAAATGAAGTTTTAGAGGGAATATTCAAGGGAATTTTAGATTAGACGAGGCATAAGATAAGGTGACTCACTGTCTTGTATGCTATTTAACTTAACATTAGAGAAAGTTCCAAGAGGCGTCCATATTTGCACGCGAGGAAAAATAAAAGGATACTCTCTGAAAGAAACCCAAGACCCACAACAAATTGGCACTCTCTAAAATCAGTATCTTTCACATGCTGGTGAAAAATCACTATTGAGGAGGAGTAGTAAAGACATATCAAACGCCTTTATTGAATTAGAGGACGCATCACTACAGGCAGGTCTTGAAATTAAAAAAAAACAACAAAAAAAAAAAACATAAAAAAATACATGACTATGATGAGAGAACGGACAGATGAAGCCATTCAAATTAGAAACCGGACTTTTGAAAAAATTAATTCGCTTCAAATAGATGGGACCTTTATTGAATGAAAGAAATGAATTACTTCGAGAATTAACAAAAGTTTATCGGTCGGAAACAGAATCTACCTTAGAAGTCACACTATACTCATAGGTAAAGAATTACAGAAAAAACAAATACAGAATATATATAAATCGTAACCAAAGCAGTTGTAACATACTCAAGTGAAACCAGGACCCTACCAAAAAAGGGAGAAAACTTATTTAACACATGGGAGAGAAAATTTCTTCGTAAGATATACGGACCAACAAAGGACAATCAGGGACTGGAACCATCTTTCAAAAGGAACAGTTGAGGCGACAACACTAGACACATTTGTGTCTATTGCCTCAAGCCTTCAAACCCCTAGTGCATGATTTCCTCATCACCACCAGGAACAGAAACATTGCAAATCCCATCTACATGCATAGGAGCCAAAATGATCACTAAATTGATCGTGGGCCCTTAAGATATAGAAGAAGAAGAAGAGGAGGATGAATATAGATCGAGAATAAGAGCCAAAAAGGAATTGTATATAGACTGTTTCAGGATCCCATATAGACTGTTTCAGGATCCCATATAGACTGTTTCAGGATCCCATATAGACTGTTTCAGGATCCCATATAGACTGTTTCAGGATCCCATATAGACTGTTTCAGGATCCCATATAGACTGTTTCAGGATCCCATATAGACTGTTTCAGGATCCCATATAGACTGTTTCAGGATCCCATATAGACTGTTTCAGGATCCCATATAGACTGTTTCAGGATCCCATATAGACTGTTTCAGGATCCCATATAGACTGTTTCAGGATCCCATATAGACTGTTTCAGGATCCCATATAGACTGTTTCAGGATCCCATATAGACTGTTTCAGGATCCCACGCTAAGGTCAGATATGAAATGGCCAGGCAACGCCGGTTGAGTCACTTAGAAACAATGTTAAATGACCAAGGAGTGAAGATAGAGCACCACCAAAACCCCAGTGCCAAACGGCTCAAAGACAGACCTAGGCTTAGATGGATTGAGTGATGGAGATAAAGATCTAAGCTGCTGAGAATCCAATCATGAAAAAGAAGTTCTAGGCCTAACAATAATGGCTTTAAAAAAAAAAAAATGATTTCATGACTGTTGAGCTATAGATCCAAATGAAAACGGGAACTCAAACTCAATACTGCTTGGAACCGATTAAGATTTTTCCTGCACATACCAAAAGTATACATTGATGTGCGCATCAAAAGGGTGCACGTCCACTTCCGCATACACGTGGTGCACGTTCATGTGCGCAATTTTTAAGAATCCCAATTAGTTCTTTCCTCCAAAGGCTCGCAACTGCAATTTTTTTCCACGCCCCCTAAACGTCATTAATATTCCAATGACCCACCCACTTTTACACCGTAGATTTATTTCAAAAAAATATTTTTTTAAATTATATGTATTACGCACCAAATGCGCAAGCGATATTTCTTTTAAAGAGTCTCATTTGGCTCAGTCATCGGGAATTTTATTAGATTGTAATGCTACGAAATAGCAATTCATTTCTAAATACATAGCGATAATACGAAAATGTAGATGAATAGAAACCAATGGGAATCCATACGAAAATATATACACAAATAAACTAAGTATCATGTTGCAGGTACCAATATCAAAGGATACCTAAAATAAAATGTAAATTCAATAGAAAAAGTTTTTTTTTATAGAGGTTTTAAGCGCCGCAACAGTTCTTCATTTTAAATAATTTCTCTTATGCCCATCTCGATTGTAAAACATCGCTCTCACCTCCCCCAAAATAAAAATGATCAAAATGAAAAGAAAACTGATATTCTGGTTCTTCCCGCAACCTCAGACAATGAATCACGCACACCATGGCATACTGACACCCGCATATTAAGAACCATAGCAGTCGAGCATTGATTTTCCGAACTAAATAGGTGACTTGGTCTTTGTAGATGTGCATTCTGCGATATATTATATTAATGAAACAATTTTCATACCGAAATATCCCCGTCTGATCACTTTATGTATAACACACTCCTATAGTAATTATCTAGACTGTCGTCTACATTTTATGCCCATGATGTGTGTTAGGGTAGTAAAATTATGCCGACTGGCGAGGGTATAAAAAAAACAACTAATTAACCATGGTCGGAAACCCAAAACCCAAAAATATGTAGAATAGTTGTCCACAATTTTTGTTTAATTTTTAATGGTGAGCATTTTTTAAAATTTGAATGCCTTCTCTTTGTCCACAGATAGGACAACAAAGGTAGAAACCACCTTGCTTGAATTAAGAACAAGATATGCGTCTCTTTTATACCTACTTAATTAATAATTGAAAATTATGTAATTCTGTTTTCAGTTTATAACAGTTGCTACAAAAAACTGCGATTATGAGACTTACAAGTGGGGCTGCAAGCTAATAAGCGGAAGAACCTACCGCCACTTCTTTGGGAGATCCTTATTTTTTATATTCAGATTGTGCACAATTAGGGCACGAATGCTTGTCAAAGAATCATCCGAGTGGCTAACCCCGGTAAATGCAACTGGCATTAAACACGTCAGCAACGAACTAAAGATGTCAGATTACAAAAGTGAGTATGCAATATTCCTAATTCAATTAATTAACCTGTACATATACAAAAATTTAGTCCATATTTGAGAACAATTTTTCTTTGTAAATTTAAACAATTGAGACAAACAATTTGTACAAAATAGTATAATATTCTGTTTAGTAAAGAAAGATAATATATTTATAGGCTATTGACACAATTTTTTCCTTTATAACTAACTTTTGACCAGTATTTCTCGTCTCATTTTGCTAATTAAAAAAAATATCTCTCTGCATGGATAAAAGGACATTTGTTTTAAAATTGAAAAAATTAACAGGCTGGTAATTCAAATGAATTTTGAGCCAAAATTGACACAGTAATAATTTGAGTAAAATTATGTTTTGACATTACACAAAAGCATGTCAATAAACAGCTCTACCGCTGTTTGTGGTTCGTTCTTCGCCTGCGTAGATGAATAAGGTTTTATTACACTGTAAGCCAGCAGGGGACTTTATTATCCTGTTTGTGCTTGGAAATGTTGTCTAAGTGTCATTTTGGCGTCATAGTGCGATTGGAGGCAATTCTTCCTTACGTCTCTGCTCGCGTTCTTTGGGCGTAAGCTGTACACGTACACTGCACAAATTTTACTCCACAAGTTAGTCTTATTTCCACTTTAATGTTTTTACTACAGAAGTGAGTCTTATTTACACGCTACAGATTGTACTACAGAACTGAGGCGACCTCAACTTCGTGTGTTATCAATGGCAATTATTTCCTCTGCACTGAGGTTGATGTCCACGGGTTTGATGGGCGCTCTTGGGCAATATGGTGTTTGTTTTATCTCCGACAGATAGTGACATGAGCATTATAAATATATAAAATCTCTGCAAGGTTTCCTTCATTTCATCTAGATGATAGCAGCTATTCTACCCAGCACGAAGCAGGTTTTGAAAGGGATGATGCCGCCGTTCCATGTCTTTACATGTCAACCTCTGATGCCGGCGTAGACAAGATGTATCTACCAGGTGCCGCCATGTTCATTGTCATCCACCAGGTAAGGCCATGTTCATTGTCAGCTTCACCGATACACGTTCGGAGATTTTAAAAGCTTACAAACACGTTAAATAGAGTGTCTACATGGTGTATGTAAAGGTGTTTCTATGGAGTATATATAAAGATGTTTCTGTAGGGTGTAGATTAAGGTGTTTCTGTAGGGTGTAGATAAAGATTAAGGTGTTTCTATAAGGTGGAGATAAAGGTGTTTCTTTAGGTTGGAGATAAATTTGTTTATTTAGCATGTAGATTAAGGTGTTTCTATATGGTGTAGATAAAGGTGTTTCTATAGGGTGTAGATTAAGGTGTTTATATGGGGTGTATATAAAGATATGTTTCTGTATGGTTTAGATACATTTTTTTCTTTAGGATGCTGATACTTTTTTTTCTGTAGGGATTCAGACAAAGGTGCTTCTATAGGGTTTAGATAATGGAAAGTTTTATATACGTCAAGACACTATAAAGTCCTCAAATGTTCTAAGCTATAAATCAATAAACTTTTGTCAGCATTGGCAACTATTGGTAAGCTTGTTAAGTCTTGAGTAATTTGTTTTCTCAATGAAAATGGCGATAGATATTTATTTAAAATAAAATGTAATTTTTATTTATGTAAGTTAATAAAGAACTATTTTTATATCTCATTTTTTTAACACTATAATTTATTCACAGATGCTTTATTGATTATTTGCGGATCTTTGATTGCCATCAACATGATTGTTTTCAACTAGCAAGTGTCAAGTTCACTTAAGTGTCAAGTTCACTAGAAAATTGAATTCAAGTCATGGATTGGCGTAGCCAAAACCTAAGCAAAAGAATGCAGATATTTTAAAAGTATACATTACATTACTATTAAAGATATATGGAAGATATCGAAGACGATAGAGAGAGAATGAATTTAGCAACTTGCAACATATTACCTATGGCTTATTCTGAGATACATTGATATTTATCTGTGAGATAATGTTAAAGGTGTTAGTGAGATCCCAGATAGTGTAAGATAATATGCCAAACAATCATATCAAGACTGGTTTGTGCTACAAACCTTACATTAAAATATTTTATAATTTTTTTTTTGTTGTGGAAATATTATGGCAACAGATATTTCCAGCAAGAATTCGTCAAGTCAAACTCAAAACGAACGAAACATCAAACGATGTGCATTGAGATGAAAATGTTAGAAGATGTTTGGTAATTAAGATATTGGGTTGTGGGGGGGGGGGCAGAACTAAACATATACATATAAAATACATATATACATATAAAAAATGTAGGCTGATATCCCACAAATAACCAAATAAAACAACATATTTATATTCACCTTTTTTTGATAATACATTTATACGATTTAATTTTTACCTGTACTATTTTTTCATGACAATAACTTTATGAGAATTACAGTTTTTCAAGATTAAAAATAAATCGTTGCAATCGTACAGATACGTGCTGTTTTAATGATATTATTTTATTTTTCTGTTTAAACTTATTTAGTTACTGGTCAATTTACTTGATTAAAGCATTTCTTTGTTCAGTGACCAGTAATACAGAATATATTTCAGAAAAAGAACATGTCTTGTAACACCTTTAATGTACCACCATTCGTCTCTCACCCTCCACTAGTGACGATGATCTTTTAAGTAGTATAGATGTTACATTATAGTCTTGTAAAAAAAAAAAAGGTTTCTTATTGTTCCTTTAATATTTCTAATAATTTCTTTGTCATTAATTTTAATGTTTAAAAAAAATAATTAGAAGACACAAATTACAATTTAAAAAAAAAATAAATAAATAAACGTTTTCACGTGTTGACTTTCCAAAAAAGTTCTTCAAGCCCTGCTTAGAATTACCGTTTATAGGAGTTTAGCTTTTGTAATATTGTTGGATAGTTACATTGAATGCTATAGCTATTGAATAGAGGAAGGTGATGCTCCTTAAGCAATTTATTGATCATTCTGGCTCAGAAGTTGGATAGTCACATAGAATGCTATAGCCAGTGAATGTATGGCATCTTTCCGTCTGCGGGAGACGATAGATTATTTTATTGCTTGCAGCTCTTGGTGTGGCTGGTGAGACCAATCCTCGAATGACAGTCTCTGTTACATTTCCCACACACGAATGCGGTGGAGCAGTATTTACCGGCCTTCCTCCTCGCTCTTTTTGCAGCTGTTTCCGCCCTGTTTTGATCCTCGGCATGTAGTGATCCTGCCTTCACGATGCCCCGCCATGAGGATCGATCCTCTGCCAACTCCTCCCAGTTTGAGATGTCGATGTTAGAGGACTTCATGTCTCTTTTGCATATGTCTAAGTATCTCAGACGAGGCCGTCCAACTGACCTTTTCCCTGTCGCCAGCTCGCTGTATAGCACGTCCTTTGGTATGCGACCAGATTGCATTCGCTTGACGTGAACATGGCTGGGACGCTACACATGTTTGTTTGGGACAGGACATCCGTGTTGGGGACTTTGTCTTGCCATTTAATGTCAAGGATGTGGCGCAGGCATCTGAGGTGGAAGCCATTGAGCCTTCTTTCGTGTTTAGAGTATGTGGTCCACGACTCACATCCATACAGAAGTGTCCTCAGTACGCAGGCCTGGTACACCTAGAGCTTAGTTCTTGTTGTTAGTTTGGCGTTTGACCAGACTCTTTTCTTCAGTCTGGCCATAACAGTTGCGGCATTCCCTATCCTCCCACTTATCTCATCCTCCATTGAGAGGGTGCTCGATATGTTGGATCCCAGATATGTGAATCTGTCAACAGTATCCAAGTCGTAGTCATCGAATAGAGGAAGGTAATACTTCTTAAGCAATTTATTCGACAACCAGAGATTAGAGATATTCATGTTTCTTAAGCTAAGTATTCGAAAGCCAGTGAAAGGAGATAGTCATACTTCTTAAACAAGGTAGTAGCAGTGATGGGAGATAGTCATACTTCTTAAACAAGGTAGTAGCAGGGGTGGGTGATAGTTATACTTCTGAAACAATGTACTTGCTGTATTTATTTTGAATTTAAAAATACGCTAAGGTTCTTCGGAACTTTTACGATCAGGTCAATTTAGGTGAAAATGTCCGTTGTCAACCCTAGGGTCCCTTCACAAGAGATACACTTTTAGGTCAAATTGACCACTGTCAACCCAGGGTACCCATCACAAGATATACAGTTTTAGGTAGGTAAGATGATAAAAGTATCAGGCTGGGTAAGTAAGATGACAACAGTCACAGAGTGGGTAGGTAAGATGACAAACTCGACAGAGTGGGTAGGTAAGATGACAACAGTCACAGAGTGGGTAGTTAAAATGACAACAGTCACAGAGTGGGTAGGTAAGATGACAAAATCGACAGAGTGGGTAGGTAAGATGACAACAGTCACAGAGTGGGTAGTTAAAATGACAACAGTCACAGAGTGGGTAGGTAAGATGACAAAATCGACAGAGTGGGTAGGTAAGATGACAACAGTGTCAGAGTGGGTAGGTAAGATGACAACAGTGTCAGAGTGAAATGTCACACAGAAAATAATTGTAACTTTTCCGTCTATTTAATTATTTTTTTTTTAAACTGTAAATATGACATGATTGTGTGGTTTTTTTTGTTTGTTTTTTTTTACTTTTCTGAAGTGGCCTACAATTTATACAAAATATCCAAGTTAAAACGTTTTTATCAGTGTTGCTGAGATTCACTTTAAAAAAAAAAAGATTTCTGTCAACTTTTCATCTCGTCATATTACAGAAATAAATATGTCAAACTGTATACACATCAAGCCTGTTTAAGACAATCTTTTTAACAAAGCTGTTCTTTCATAAATTTCATTTTGAAAAAAAAAAATCTACCGATTATCATTATGCTCATATCGTATTAAATTTAAAACAAAGACGAAATGGCAAGGGTTGAAAACTGAATATGATCAAATAGACATCTAAACATTTATTTTTAAGTTGATTTTTTGAATTTTCATTTTGAAAAAAACGAGCACGATAAAAGCCCTCTTACGAAAAATTGTGTCTATTGCCTCAAGCCTTCAAACCCCTAGTGCATAATTTCCTCATCTGTGGGCCCCCACTGTGACGTGACGTATGTTGTCTAGGGGTCGGTCCCCTCTGTACTAGCCACAGAACAATTTTTCAAGGGTCTAGAACCCCTTTATTTCCAGCTCCTACAGAGCTGACTCTTGCTCCAAGTATCAACAAACAATTCAAGGTTTCAGGTTTTCTTATTTATTGGCTATGTGTGCCTATATGCCACTACACAAAACAGTTAAAGTTACACAAGTCCTCTTCCATCGTAGGAAAACTCACTGCCTTTCACAAGACAAAAATCATACACCATATCCACAGCACTCGCCACTGTTCACTCCTTAAAAAACTCACTCTCCCACGTGGTTCCTCCTGACACAGCACACAGGTCATACCTTGACCGAGAAAAATAAAAACCCGTGGAGCACACGAGGAAAAGAAACTCACCCAAATTAACATTATAAAAGTTGACACAGAAAACCTCACGCGATCTGACCGTGACAACCACTAGTAACAGTAACATTGCAAATCCCATCTACATGCATAGGAGCCAAAACGATCAATAAATTGATCGTGGGCCCTTAAGATATAGAAGAAGAAGAAGAAAAATCCCCAGGTAACAAGAGCTTTAAACGAAAATCCCCGGACACAAGAGCCTTAGGCAAAAGTCCTCGGACACAAGTGCTATAGGCAAAAGTCACCCGGACACAAGTGCCAGAGGCAAAAGTCCCCGGACACAAGTGCCAGAGGCAAAAGTCCCCGGACACAAGTGCCAGAGGCAAAAGTCCCCGGAACAAGTGCTAGAGGCAAAAGTCCCCGGAACAAGTGCTAAAGGCAAAAGTCCCCAGACACAAGTGCTAGAGGAAAAAGTCCCCGGACACAAGTGCTAGAGGCAAAAGTCCCCAGACACAAGTGCTAGAGGAAAAAGTCCCCAGACACAAG